TCATTACCCATGATGATCTACAATGGTATACATAATTTTACATTTTTATGAGTCATTACAAATTTAGGGAGTACAGTATGACATTTCAATTCATATATAGAGCATAAGGATCAGATCAGGATAACTGGCATATATAGCACCTCAGAACCTTGTTTCTTTTTGTTAGGAACATTTAAAATCCTACTATTTTGAAATATTAGTTATCCTACTGTGCTAAAAAAATTGGAAGTTATTTCTCCTAACCAACTGTACCATGGACCTGTTAACTATCACCTCTGTCCCCCAGAAAAACTGTTTTGTTGTTGCATGACTTATGCAACAAACGCCAGTTACATCTTATCAGCTGAAGGTGGTATTGAGTTCTTATATGTCTCTAATTTTATTTCATTTTCTATCAGTGTGTTGAAAGAGGGTATTACAGTCCCCAGTTACAGTTCTATCTACAACTATATTTCTACAGTATTTTGGTTTGTTTTTGCTTCACATTATTTTGCAACTCGGTTATCAGTACATGCCATTTAGGATTAGCCTTCTTCATAGAACTTTTTTAAGACAAGGTCTTGCTATGTCGGCCAGAATGGTTTTGAACTCTTGGGCTCAAGTACTTCTGTCACCTGAGCCTCCTCAATAGTTAGAACTATAGGTATATTTTAACACACCTAATCAAACTGACCTTTTTACTCCTGTTTAATTTTGGTATCTCTGGTATTTTTCTTTGTCCTAAAGTCTACTAATATTAATATAGTCCACAACTGCTTCCACATTTTTCCACCAAATGCTGAGGGTTGAACCCAGAGTCTCATACATGTCAGACAAGTATTCTACCACTGCATTACATTTAAAATTTACTTTGTATATCTTTTCCAATATTTTCTTTTGCTTTTTATACACTGTTGTTTGAAGTGAGTTTCTGGTAGACAGCATACTGTTGATTCACATTTAATCCATTCTACCAATTTTTAAAAAATTGATGTTAGCCCCGAAGTCTGCCATTTAAAATCCTTCTTGTTCCAATTTTTGTTTCTTTTTTCTTCCTGCTCAAATACTGTTAATGTAGTTTTTAGAATTCCATTTTGATTTAGCTAGTTTTTTAGTGTATCTCTTTATATAGCTTTTCAGTAATTATAATACACAACACTTCATATTTACTGCAGTCTCCTGTAATTTCACCAGAGTGAAATATAGAAAATGTACTCGTGTGTGACCCTTTTATTCTTCTGTTTTTAACTTTTAAATATTTCCTATATACATTTAAAGCCATCTTAGGCAGTGTTATAATCTTTACTTCAACTACTACACATAATTTAGAAAACTCACAGTGAGAGATTTACCCATATTGTTACTGACCATGTTTTTTCTTTCTTCCTCGTGTTCCACATTCCTTCTTTTATCACTTCGTTTAGAGTACTTTCTTCAGTCATTTAGGGTGGATATACTGACAAAAATTCTCTGGCTTCTTTGAACCTATCCTATCCATCTGTCTGTGACTAAGGTGGCCCAGCAGAACTCCATCAAAATATGGAATTGGATGCCACCCTAAAAGTAGGGCCAGAACTAATAGAATTACTTTTAGGACATAAAGGGCTGATGGGAAAAAGCATAGTGATTTATCAGTAAAGCACTGGGGATGAGAAAGATTTGGAGAGTTGGAAATATCCCAACTTTTGAGATTGCTATTTGTGGGAGCGGTGATTATGGGGGAAATGGAATAAAACACAAAGAATCAAAGGTTAAGAGTAAAGTACAGAGATAAATACATACATCTTCCCTTTTCCCTGAAAAAAGAAACATTTTCTCTCAGAAACAATGACTAAATGACAATCTAATATCCTCAAGTTCTAGCTTAAAATATCATAAACTTTGTTAGCATAGACATCTCTGAAACTCACGCCAGCAAAATCAGAAAGAAAATGCTGATGTAGTCAATGCTATTTACAAGCCGTTGCCGCTGAATCACTTACCTGAAAACATACCCCTCTCAGTGATGCCTATTTCATTAAGGACGCAGCTGGGAGCTTTCCCTAATCTTTATGTGGGCAATGGAGGATCTCCAACTTTTGGTTCTTTCTTTTAAATATCCTAGTTTTCATAATCTCCCAGTGCCCACATCTTCTCCAGTCAGTATCATTCCACCCCCTCCTTTAGACAGAAATAAGAACAGAGACTGTTATTTCAGGGTCATCTCTGGAATGCTGTATTTCCCATTTCAATGGCCACAAAGCAATGAAGGAAAATGTTGACCTCAAATTTGAGAATTCTTTAAGTGATGAGAAACTCTTTCCAGATAGATCCAAGACATCCACAATTTAAGAAACAGAATGAGCACATAATTATTTAGTTGGCCTTCTCTTTTAATCAAAAACATACTTAGTTACAGAGTTCTCAAGAAAGGTTCAACTATTTTATAGCCATAGACTTCAACCAAGAAAAAGTATACAGAAAGCCACAAAGGAACTAACTGGGGCTTCAGCTGACCAGTTTTCCCAAAAGCAGAAGCTAAGAGTGGTTTTTCTCTGAGTTTTGGCATAACGGCATTCCTTGAACATCAGGGGAGGAGACGAGCATGGAAACACCAACATCAAATCTGTCCCCAGTACCCTCCCCACCATTCCTCCACACTGGGCTCTGCAGCCCAACAGGTTTTCATCATCTATAAGCATTCATGCATTTCCCATAAATCATATATCCAATGCATTGAACAGAACCACATACTTGAAAGAAGTTTGCCAACTCCATGTTTAGCCTTTTAACCAATCCAAGCCCATGAGTCCTCCTATCAATGACAAGCAGCCTTAGCAATAGCAGCTGGTTTCATCCCTTCCTCTCCAGCTACCACAGAGCTGGCCTCTACCAGGACTCCCCAAAACCCCTCACTCTCAACCCACCCCAAAGAGAGATTCCTCAGTCCTTGAAAAAGCAAAGTTCATTAATGATACTCATCTAAAAGTAGGTTGAAAAGAATTCTAAAAGGAATGGTCCAGACAAAAGCCATCTAATCAAAATGGACCTAAAAAGAGCCAAAAATAAAGTGAATTATCATTCACTCATACTTTTCTGAGTCATATAAACCATTTTACTTGATGCAGTTCAGAGGAATTTCCCTGTTTCAAAGCATACAAGGGCTAAGAAACCAAAGACCCAAATTAATGGTCTCTAATATCATTGGGCATTAACAGGTTTTCAATCCCTTTTAGTTGAAAAAAAATTACCAGCACACAGCACTTAGGATGGTATTTCAAAAATATATACCCACTTGAAAGTTGGAAGATCGTGACTCAGAAAAAGCCTTTATAAATTTTGACGACAAAAATAAAATGAAGACCCCCGCCCCAGTTTTTGTTTGTGAAGTATTTATTGCATCCCTAAGGTGGTGCTAGGCCTTTGGTTAAAATTATTGTCTTTTAAGGACCTATTATGTAACGTTATGTCCATAGGAGAACAGTGATAAAATATCAAGCCCAGTCTCATTTGAATAACATGGAAATAAGTAAAAAGCCCACTCAGCAGATGAAAGGTAAGTAAAAAAAAATCCAAAATCACTGCAAGGTGGGCAAGGTCACTTAGAATTCAGAGGTGCAATAAATAATCTAGTCCAACTCTCATTTTACAGATGAGGCAACTGAGGCCCAGAGAAGGCAGCAAATGACTTGCCCAAGGTTACACATCAAATGACTGGCAAAGTACAAACTAGAGCGTGCAACTGTCTGGCCTCATCCAGAGCCACTTTTTTAGGGTTGAAAAAAATATCAACCCTGGATTTATTGAAAAAGCATTTTAAATAAACTGTGAAAAATATCCACCTCAACAGAAAAAATGATTGTCTTCACCAAAGTTTTCTCCTCAGTCTTTCCTACATTAAAAAAAGAAAAAGAAGCTTCATTCATTGAAGTCTGATGTTAAAATCCCTGAAATTATCAGCCATTACTTTAGCTACTCCTTGGGGCAGGATATACCCTCAATTTTCATAAAGGCACCAATAGGTCAAAAGTATATATGGAAAAGGAAGGCCAAAAGGTACAGCTAAGAGGACACACACAAACACACACACACACACACACACACACACACACACACACAAAGAAAGGCCCTCTTGTTTTCCAAGACTTGTTTGTATGTGTGTGTTGCTTGCTGGTGTCCTCCAAGTAAAAGTACTGCCTCTGGCTGATGATGATAATTTAGCAATCCTGTAACCCCAGTTTTTCTATGAGCACCACTTAAGTGGAAGCAACAAAATCTTCTAAAACATTAAAGGGTAAAATATGAATATGACTCATTTCTTTCCACTCAACCACCTAAAACTCACAAAGAATCAGGGAGCATTTCATGCAGTCAAACCAGTATCAAATGCCAATACAATGAAGTCCCTTTCTACACTTGATGGGAAAGCATCATGGGTCCTGTCTCAAAGTTTTTCTATTGTTTTAAAGAAAATTCTAATTTCAGTTGTCTTGGCTTCCTTACTCAAGCAGTCAGAAATAATTAATCACAAAGGGCAGAATAAAATACTAAGGGGAGGCACACCACTAACCACATAGAAAGTGGTAGTTGTTGGAAAGGAAAACCTTAAGAGGAAGGTAGGTTAAAAACACTACAATTTCAAAGCTATAGTAATCTGGGACCACTTAGTAATGGCAAAATAGATTGTCTTAGAAGCCCCAGAAGCCCCTGAAGCCCACAAAATCAAGCACAAAAAGAAATGTTTTATCCAGTATATTTTCTGAAATACATATTAAATAACTCCATCAAAAAATGGCTTAAGGGCTGGGGATTTAGCTCAGTGGTTTGGTGGCCTGCCTTGTAAGCGCAAAGACCCAAGTTCAATCCCCGGTACCAAAAAAAAAAAAAAAAAAAAAA